GTGGCATGGCCATTCACCCTTGGGGGTGATTTCTCATTTTCTGTCTCTCTCTCTTCCCAGTGAGTGCACACTCCCTATAGCAAAAAATCTCTCTCTCTGAACAAAAAAAAGAGTTATAGTTAGGATTTTATCTTTTTTAATAACACACTGTATATGGAGTTCCATTATAGAATATATAATAATGCTATTCAATTTTCATAACTTTAAAAATTTTCAGCAAAGCATCGTGTAAGAAAATGGAAAACCTTGCATCTTTTGCAAAATGCTGCAAGCAACTCTAAGTAGATATAGTCCTCACCATTGCAGAGAAATCATATGCTTATTAGTAAATGACAATGCCATATCTGCTAGTTTGCCAGAAGTACTATAACAAAGTACCGTTGACTGAGTGTCTTCAACAATGTCACTTATTTTCTCTTAATTCTGGAATTTCAGAAAACAAGATCCTAGTTTTGGCAGGTTTGTTTTTTTTCTGAGGTCTCTTCCCCTGACTTGCAGATGACTTCCTTCTCTCTGTGTCCTCACATGGTCTTTCCTCTGTGTGACCACGTGTTTGTGTCATAATCTCCTTTTCTAATCAGCATCAATCATATTGGATTAGTGCCTACTCATATGACCTCATTTTACCTTAATTAGCACTTTAAAGGCCCTGTTTCCAAATACAGTTACAATCTGAGGTACTGGGGGTCAGGACTTCAACATCTAAAATTTGTGCAGGCAGTTTAGCTTACAGCACAACCTGATTTAGAGTTAGTGAATCTAAAATTGTCTTTTTTTTTTCATTGCAGAAAGTACATGCATTTACCAAACACAGAGTGAGAGACAGAGAGAGACAGAGAGAGAGAGAAATGCACCCCTTCCCCCAGTGGGGAGTGGTCATGCTGCAATCCATCTTCCCCCATTTTTCCATCCCATTAAGATTTTGGGTATACACACACATGTGCCTGAAATGTTTTTCAAGCCATCAGGGCTGGAATTTGAATCACATGGTCAGCCATGTGGAATCTGGCTCTTCATGCACAGCACTTAACTGCTAAGTTACAGGACAGGCCTTAAACATTTTTTTTTCCTTAAAAAGAGAAGACTTTATGGGGTCAGCAAGTGGAATGGTGGTTAAGGCAGTAGTCTCCCACAGAGCTGACTGTGGTTTGAGTCTCAGACCTAGTGGCTTGAAAATCACACTGAACATGTGTGAATATGCGCCCAAAATCCCAGGAGAAGGGATTGTGGTGTGTCCATGATTTCTCACTTTCACTCTCAGAGTCTCTCTCCTTTGAGTGCATGCTCCCTATGGCAAAGAACTTTAATTTTTTTTTAAAGAGAGGAATTTAGGTTGAAGAAGTGAGACAGAGTGAAGAAGGAAAAGAAGAAATGTATAATCCAGCAATGAGTGTGGGAATGGGTGGCTCAGAGCAACAAAAACAGAAATCATCTCAGTAATATAGTTTGAATGTCTCCTCCAAAATTCGGTTGAAATTTCCTTGCCAATGTAATGGAATTGGGAGTTGGGATATTTAAGAGTTGATTAGGTTATGAAGACTCCTATTCTTATGAGTGGATCGTCATTTTCTTGGGAAGTGATTGGTTTTCTTGGAAGGGCCTCCTGATCAAGGAACAAGTTCGACTCAATTTTCTTTTTCGTTTCTTTGTAAGTTTATTTTTTTCATGATAAAAATAGAGAGAGATAGGAAAACACTCTCAACAGTTTGATCATATCACTATCCCTTTGCCTCCCCTTTAGCTTGCCAGGATCTTGGGCATGGGTATGCATGTCTGGTGTATTTTGGATCAACCAGGCTGGGGATCTAAACTCCACAGGTGGTCATGTGACTTCTAGCACTGCATTCTATATACTACTGACTGTGCATGGAAACTGGGCCTCAGTCTGGTTTCTTCTCCTGCTGGCAGTTACCATGGGATGACTGGTGTTATGCTCTTAGACTTTCCAGAACTATGAGAAATACATTTTTTTTAATTTATAAATTACCCTGTTATTCTCTCAGAACAGCAAAAGATGAACTAAAACACCCAGAGAAGTAATATTTTAATTCTTTAAAAGCAATGTTTTGCTTTTTCATTATTGATAGAGTAAAACAAATCAAAACAAAAACAAATCTTATGGCTTTAACAACAAAACAAATCTTGTGGCTTAACCAATTTGACCCCAGTGTAAAATTTGTAGAATTAGAGCAGGCACATATTTCTGCTCTGAGTAATCACACAATGACTGCTTCATTGCAAAAGAGCTAAGGTGTTCTGAGAGCTTTAATCAACCTAATCAGGTCATCCATGGGACTTATAAGGGTTCTGGTTACAAATCTCCTAAAGCTCTGAACTACTTTCTGCATCCACAGGCTAAAAGGGTTATTAAATTAGTTGCACAGAGAGATGGAATTAATACTACTTGATTGAGCTAAGATCATCATATTCTAAAAAGCAATTAAAATTGTTCTGACCTTTGAAAAGTAAATCGCTAAATTTTTATGTTTCATTTGGATCTGAGAAAAGGCAAATAGTGAATTTAATAAGTATGAATGAGTTATGTAACTAAGGGATTTTTGTACATAATTTTCTTTAAAAAGTAATTTAGCAACCATGAAATTTAGATTTTTGCATTCCCTTTTATGTTGAAGAGGACTAGTGCTTTATATGTGTGACACATCACAATGCATATTTTTGTAAAGATGCACACGAAGAAATATATATTCATGCATATAGTAGCCAAAAATTTTTTAATAGCTCATTTTCCCAACTGTTCAGAAATAATTTGCCTTGTAACTTCAATTATCTGCACAGTAAAATATAAAAAGGTAAGAAGACTGACTTTTGGAAAGCAAAAAATATATGTTGAAAACTGCTTGAGGACTAAGGTATTAGAATTTAATTTATAGGAGAATGCCTTAGTTATCAGAAATAACAGATCAGTTTCTAATGAGCTTAATAAGCCAGCTTTGAACATGCAAATTTGAAAAGGGCTTCACCAAAATAAGTACAAGGAAAGTTACAAAGAGATAGAAATGATAACAGCAGACACAGAATATACTGGAAAAACAGCCAGTTTTGTAAGCTTTGGTAGACCTTGAACCACTGTGCAGGGACTTAGGTTATATCAATGATCTAGTCATAAAAAAGAGTTAAATAGCATCTATAGCTTCTATTTAAGAGGACAGAATAGTATAAAATGCACATGATGTCTTTGCAAAAGTAAATTCTATGAAATAAATTCTATTCATTCATTTATTCATTGATTCCTGGATAATATATTAACTATCTACTGTTCATTCATTACCCAATAAATACCAACTGAGTGCCTTCTCTGTAGGGAACTGCCCTAGGTTCTAGGGATAAAAGATGAATGCAGCAGACATGAATATCTGTCCTTTGCTTACATTTTAGTTGGAAGCAATAGACAACAAAGAGGTAAGTGACACATAGAAATTCTATATAGAATACAGACCATGTTTTGTACTATGGAGAAAAATAAAGTGGACAATAACATATTCAAGTGAGAAATATTTACCTCCAAAATCTTCTTGAAGAGATGTAGAAGGGTTTGGCAGTTAGCACAGCAGAACTGAGGGCAAAAATGGGTATTATGATATTAATTTTGTTATCAGATAACATTAGGTTAATAACATGTTTTATCTTTATCATTGGTTCTCTATTCCAAAAAGAGGACACTTATGGAATTAAATTTTGACAGTTCAATTATAAAATCATAATTTTGCAATATAAAAAATTATGGAAAGCAAATACTTAATGTTACTTGAATGGCCCTATTTTCACAAAGCATATATCTATTGGGTTGTCAGAAAATCATAATGTATTTTTTCTGTTTTTCTATGCTAAAACGCATCATGACTTTTCCAATAACTCAATATTTGGGGAAAATAAGAGACACATCTACAGATTCAAAAGTTGTGTGGCCATCCTCCAGCCATCTGATAAATAGTCATCTTTGAACAAGCACCCAGTAGATGGCTCTAGCAGAGAGAATCTTAGGAGCAAAGGTAGCTCAGGATACTTCATGGAACTTATGAGGAATACATAGAAAAGAAAGTGCTTTTGGCAGAGTGAATAGCCACCAATTGTTGCACGCTTTGGGGATCAGAGTGATTCACCTGCCAAAGGGCTTATGTTGAGAAGCAGAGGAAGGTGAAGCTGCAAGGACGCTGGAGTCCCAGATCTGGAGCATCTATTTTGGCGTTGGGCTATGAAATGAGGACTTTATTCTTCATCCTGTAAAGCAGTGGTCCCTGACCTTCTTGGTGCAAGGGACTGGTTTTGTGGAAGATAATTTTTTCGTGGAGCTGGAAGGAGAGTATGATTTCAGGATGATTTAAGCATATTATATTTACTGTGCACTGCATTTCTTTATTATTACATTGTAATATATAATGAAATAATTATACAACTTACCATAATCCAACATTTGCAGCTGCTCTCCAGTGCTTGTATCACTGCCTCAGTTCCATTTCATAAGGTTCGTGCTCCTATGAAAATCTAACTCTGCTGCTGATCTGACAGCAGATAGAGCCTGGGTGTAATGCTAGCATGGGGGTTGGCTGTAAATGCAGATGAAGCTTTACCTTTTGCTGTACAGCCCTGTTCCTAACAATGACAACGTCCAGGAGTTGGGAACCCCTGCTGTAGAATGATTGTCTTTGCTTTTGAGCAGAGAAGTGTCAAAATTAAAGTACCACTTTAGAAAGATCTAATTGATGTCAACAAAAGGAATGAAATAGAGAAGACTCAAATGGAAGCAGGAAGCTATATAAGAGATTTTTAGCCTGGTCTACTTATGTGATAATGAGAGTCTGGTTTGGGGAAAATGGAATGGAGAGAGGACACATGGTTTTAAAGGTTAATTAATGGAGGAATGAGTAGAGATCTAAGAGTTGGTAACTGGAAATGAGACAGGGAAGAGGAAGAATGAAAGACAACTTATGTTTGATATGTGAGTAGCTGAAAGGATAAAGTAAATTTGATAAAATAATAGATGTCCTTGGCCTGGATAGAGTGACATTTGGCTGGTGCTCACATCATAACAGCCAGGGACAAAACAACCCTTCATTTATCCCAGTTTGACTTTTGGTTAGTGCCCATACCTGGTTCATGCCTTGGACACATGAAAAAAAAATCCAGAAAGATAAAGTAACAGAAATAAGACAGAAAAATAAAGGAGGACATGAAAAGGAAAAAAAAAATCAGTTTTACACTACTCTAAGACATTATTATCAATGACACAACACCCAATTCAACATTTATATAGTATGTTTTGGTTTCTAGGCACATTCCCAGTACGGTATGTCATTTGTGATGAACATAGACTAGCCCACCAGGAATTCATATGTGATGGGAGATACACAAACACAGTTGGAGCTAAAGATAAGGCTGTAGAAATAGCTCAGAAAGTCCTCCACGTGAAAGTACCTAGAGCAAATGGCACATGATTCATTTCAGTCTGTCTCTCATTGGTGTTACTTAGTTTGAAGCAGTATATTGAAAATTTAATACGTCTTTTTTTTTTTAAATTTGCCAGAGGGTGCATGCACTTGCCAAAGAAAGACAGAATAAGAGAAAGTGAAAAAACTCTCCTCCATGGGGGATCATGATGTCATAATCCTTTCTCCTCCATTTCTTTCTCCTTTTCAGGATTGAGGGCATAAATGTACCTATGCTCAGCATGTTTTTACGTTGCTGGTTTGGGACTCAAACTGCAGTCAGCCATGTCAGATCCAGCTGTTTTAACCACCATACCACTAGCTGGCCCAAATCCATTAAATCTTTAATGCTCACTTCTTTTTCCTAATATCTAGTAAGCTGTATTTCAAAATGCTATCAATCAGTGCTTTGAAATAATTCTTCAAATGTCTTATCCCAAGTCTTATCATACTTTTTCACATATATATGTATGTATGTGTGTGTATGTGTGTGTGTATGAATGTCTACACACACACATACACACACATATTTTCCATTTGTAGAATCAGAAATATAGAGAACAAAACCAAAACAAGATCTGTTATTGCATGTTTTTATCAGCTAGTACTGGGGAGAAAGATCGGCAAACTGAATTGCAGTGCTATTATTAAAATTCATGAACTGGAGAATTACCGATGTGTAATATTCAAAAATACAGTGAGTGCTAAGTATCTTTGACACATTCCCTAAAGCTTTAACCATCTTGGGAAAAAATGTTACAAGTCTGTCACAAACATATTGGATTTTCCTAAAGCATATGGTGATGAAATAGAGTATCATTTTATGAGAAAATATTGTCATACTGGTTTCTTGGTCCAACACGTCACAGTCATTTTATATTTCTATTTTATAGTTGTCTTTCTTTTGTGCTCTTATTTTAGAATGAATTTTGTTCCAGGTCTTGGAAAGAAGTCATTGTTTCACCCCTTCTTCCAGCCCACTTTCTTTTGGCCATTCCTTTTTTTTTTTTTTTTGAGAGGATTTTGCTATAAGGGCGCGTGCGCTTGCCAGACTGACAGACGTAGAGATAGAAAGCAAGAAATCATCTCCCAGAGGAGAAGGTTACGCCGCAATCCCTTCTCCTCCATTCTCCACTCAGGATCTTGGGCACGCACGCACACGTGTCCGGCATGAGTTTAAGCCACCGGGTCCGGGACTTGAACTGCAGTCGACTATGTGGGAGTCCAGCGACATAGCCATTACACTAACTGCTGGTACTTCCATTCCTTTGTTTTTATTCTTCTTTCCAGTCTTTTATTCACTACAATAAAGTCTTTATAATATGTTTCAAGACTGGGAGGTGTGTGTTGTGATCAAGTTTTTATTTTGACTACACTCAGAGTCTTTTATCTTCCAACTGCTTCTCACCTACATAGCTTATGTGCTGCTATATCATCCTCTTTCTGAAGTAGTTGCATTCATCTTGACCTGGCTAGGTTGCAAGAATGGAAGTGGTTATTCTCTAGCTTGCATTAAATCATTTTTATTTTTTTAAATTTCCAGAGGATGATGAAAAAGGGGGAAAAATATATATGTTCTATGTCTACACACAGATTATACATTATATATAATACAGTATAATGTAACATATCTCATATGCCACTGGGCCCTTTTACCACATTCTCTGTTTGGTTTCCTTGGGCTCTTTTAAAGTACTGGACCCGTTCCCAGATCTGGTCTAATCCACATCACCCAGTTACAGGCGGTATTGTGTGTTGGCTTTCTCTAGGGTGGTTGGTTGGTTCCTGGAACTGTCACATTAATCTATTTTCTAAAACAATTAAGAAGCAATGTGCTCTTTCCCAAGGGCTTTTATTGTCTTAGAATTTTAGAGACCACATGGGCATATCTACTTGGCTGTGATGTTCAAATCCTTTGCTGTCCGCTTTCAATGTTAGTATCTGGTGAGCTTGGATAAACTGTTTCCCAACACAAGTCCTTACTTGAGGCGGCTATGATGCAATTCATAATCCAGTCCCTCTCCCACAGAAGACAATGGAAGACTCTTGATAAAGGCATTAGCGACATAGCAAAGTTTAAATTTTATATTGGAAAAAGAATCGGGAAAATATGGATGAAAGATGAACCAAAACAATGGTTGGGAAGGTCCATATCTGTAGCCCATTTCACCTGGGCTACATCTGACTTGTGGAAGACAGACCTGTTTTTGACTTGAAGCAAAGGTAGAGGCATAATGTTGCAGTCTATTCAGAGCAGTTAGAAACAATGTATGGTATAGCAATTATGTCTCTGGACTTCCACATGGATGACCCCCATTCAAGTCCCAGACCTGGAGGCTTGAATCTCATTCTGGGTGCATGTGCATGCATGCTCAAGATCCAGGAAGGGGAATGGAGGAGGAGGGATTACAGCATGGCCATCCCTCAAGGAGGATGATTTATCACTTTCTCTCTCACTATCTCTGGTTTCTCTCTCTCTGGTGAGTGCACATGCCCTAAGGCAAAAATATCTAAGAAACAACAACAAAGAAATAGTATGTTAGAAACTTTTCCTATAAGCCAATATATTTTCAGTATAATGGTTTAGATACAAACTATTTAAAAACACTATTTTAAAAAACTCCATAAACATTATTTTTAAAAAATCATCATTAGGTGGTCACATTAAGGAATAGATATTTAGAACATGAAGACATAAAATGGTCTTTATTCAAACCTCTGGATGACTCACATTGGAGATGTTATTGGATTTGTCTTGGTTTTAAGGAATTTTTATAGATGATAGAAAGTTGCTATAATGATGAAACTTCCTCCTTTTGTAATAATAGCAGAAAGTAAAATGCCTTCTGTAAAACTTTTATTTCTTTTCTTTTCTTTTCTGAGAGAGTTTTGGTATAGGGTATGTGTGCTTGCCAGAGAGACAGAGAGAGAGAGAGAGAGACAGAAAGTGAGAAATCACTCCTTCCCCCCGTGCTGCAATCCCTTTTTCTCCATTCTCCTCTTGGTATTTTGGCCACACACACACACACACACACACACACACACACACACCCTGCTTGAGTTTTAAGCCACCAGGTCCAGGACTCGAACCACAGTAGACTATGTGGGAGTCCAGTGACATCAACATTATACCATGTGCTGGTTCTCAAAATTGTAATCTCTGAAGGTACTTCAGCTCAAAGGGGTTGAGAAGGGACCCTTCCTAGTCTGGCATTATCAACTATTCCTGTTATGGTCCCTTGATGTAGCAACTTAACTCTCTTCTTCCTCTGCTTTTATCTTTTCAGTATACCCTCAGTTACATACCTGCCTTTTCACACTTCACAGACCTCCGCCACTGACATTCTAGCCTTAGAAGGGTGACTTTTGACCTCCATTGCCATTTCTTCTTTCCCAATTGATCAAGACACACTTTTCCCACTTTTGACATGTCTTAGATCATATGACACCAACATATGTTGACGGTGTGATGTATACACTGTCAGCTTCTTGTGTGCTGCTGTTGTCGTATCACTGCACACTGGTTAGCTGCCTGTACTTACAAGGCTCTGACGAATACAAAAGCTAAATGAGCTTTGTTTACAAATAGCTTACAACATATAACATATTTATATCATTTTCTCAGGCACAAAAAGATACATAAGTTTTTACAGTAGGATTATATTCTACAGAAGCACAAAAGGAAGAGTAGTTGGACTTTCTAATCTTCCTCCACCCCACCCTCATCACTTTTTGGCTCCTTACCCTACTTAATTTTACCTTACTGAATTTATAACACCAGACATGTTACATATCTACTTCTCTTGGTTGTTTTTCAATGCTTATCTCCAACTCTCAGAATGCATATTTCATGTGAGCAGAGATTTTTGTCAACCTTTTCACTGCTGTATCTCCAGCCCTTAGCCTACTGTTGATAGTTAGCATAGAGAAGGCCTTCAATAAAATTATCTAGAGATAGCAGGATATATTACTCACCTTTATCTTGACATACTGTCTGTATAAAATATAAATAAAAGTAAATTAAGACATTTAAAAAATTTGTTAAAAGGAGGTCTTCAAGAAGAAGTGACATTTAAGTTGGGCTTTAGGCAATAAAAAATGTTTTAATAAGAGAAATGAGGAAAAGAGTATTCTAAAAGAATGAATCAGATCCAACAGAAACATGGAGGTTTCCAAGTAAAGTGTAACTAAGGTAACGAAGTGGCTCAAGTTGGAGAATTTAACTACTTTTAATTTAATTTCATGAAAGAAAATAATTTTTTCGTTAAACGTATTATACTTTAGATATTTCAATTACATTGATGAGTCCAACTAAGTACTTTCAGAGTGAACCAGTTCCCAAAAAGACAAACTGTAAAGTGAAAAGTCATATTTATGGTATCATGGGGAGCAGATTGAATCCACAAAATGGGGAATCTAAGAAAAAAAGGAGAAAGAACAGAATGAGAAAGAACATCAGGATTCTTGTCACAGTTATGCTTAGTGTCCTTGTATTTTATCCTTTGTATGTATTTCTAAGAAACATATGTTTTCCAGTTTTGCCCGACTTGCTTTAATGGTCCCATCTGTAATTAACTGTCATCCTCATTTTGGTTCTTGGTGATAGCACAGCATTAAAACAAACAAACAAACAAACAAACAAATAAGGGACCCAGTGGACAGCATAATGGTTACATTGCTGGACTCCC